ATGTTGATACAAAAGCAAACTGTTACCAGTTTTATTTAGATACATAATATGCTGGGAATACTTATTTTTGTGGATACATAAATTGGTGTTAGGTTGATGTAGGTACAAAAACGTACTGTTACTGGTTTTATGTAGATATGTAATATACTGGGAATGCTAATTCTATGTTTATACATAAATTTATGTTGGGTGAATGCTGGTACAAATATAGACTGTTACTGGTTTTATGTAGATACATAATATAATGTGAATACATTACAGTTTGGTATTAGTTCTGTAATAGACTGGCACTTGTTCATGTAAATACATGTGAATTGGTTCCAGTTTAAACATATTATGGATCAGTATTGTTTCAATGGGGATACGTAACAAACTGATGATATTTAATTATAAAATTCACTCCTTAAATATAGTCTTATGGTGATATTTGTACAAGCAGAAATATTTTGATCAAAACAGCAACTTCTTAAATTGGAAATCAAAGAACAGTAAAGTTGTATTGAACTTTTGTAATTAATAGAATTTGATGCTGTTTTTTGTAAATTAAGACAAGAAGCCTGTTTTTTTTTGTATGAATATCTCATTAATTTTTACTAATTACTGTTTTTTGTTTTTAGGGCAGCTGCTTTAGATGTTGAGCCTGTGTATACTTTTAGAGGCCACATGTAAGTTCTTGATTTTGGATTCTCAAATCATCAGATTTGGCCTTTCAAAGTTTCCTGTTACTTTGATAAATAAGCAAGATCAGCAACATGTATTACGTACTACAGCATATCCAGCTCTCACTAGCTAATTTTATCAGTGATAAAGAATGTCTTCAAAAAAGGATTAAACATTTCTTGAAGTGAAAGTGAATAAGACTGTTTCATATTTATATATTGTACTTCATTTCTTCACCATTGAGTAAGGTTGAGATTGGCCCATTAGACTCGGAGGAGTTAGGGTGCAAAGAAACACACATTTCATCTTTATTAATAATTTAATATTAATGAAGATTGTAAAAGAAAGAGTTTAGCTTTACATATAGCTATGTATGTTTTAATAACATTCATCTGCATGATTTTACTAAACATCATATATTTAGAAAGTTTGTTAAAAGGTAAAAATTAAATATCACTCATACTTTTAAATGAATGGGAATGGGCTAACTCTATTGGACCAAATCTGTATTGGGGAAAGAATAGTAACTATAATTCTGAAATTATTATATGTAGTACATGCATGAAATGTGTTGAGCTTTTAGTAAAATGTACAAGTCTATCGCACACTAAAAATCGGATATATTATAAAAGTATTTGTACTCAAGATATGTCTGTGATTTGACAACGTCAGTCTGAATCAGATTCTAAGAAATCAGATGTACATGTGAAGAATATAAATACTATTGTCCATTGTAGAGTTTGCATGACCATTAGAACCACTAAAATGCATATCTACCGTTTTTCATTATCCATTTATACTGTATCTGATATGTATTTTCCTGAACCACAAATTGGCACTGAGTAATATAGAACAAAATGGTGTTGAATACATAATGTGGTAAAAACTTTGTTTTCCAGCATCTTCACATCCATAACACTTATAACCAGAAATTATAATATCTTCAAACACAAATGCTCATTGTAGGAATCAGCATTCATTCAATATCATCCAGGATGTCTTGAAGCTTCAGTGGTTAGCCATCTGTACCAAGCTTACTTTATCTGTAAATGTTCTTTACATCCTACAGTTATGGCTTCTAATTCTAACAAGAAATCAATGTTTTTATATAATTAAAGGTTTTTTGTAACATTTATTATTGTTTAAAACTGTTATTGCTGTAGATGATGTAGAAATAACAACATGTTAAAATATTTCCTGTAAAGTGTGGTAAGAAAAGTGCTTTTGTGACTGCAATTTTCACCTATTCAACACTGCCCAGGTTCAACAGATGTCAGAAAATAAGCTTTTATTGTACCTTGTTGAACAGTACCGTGTAAAAGGGCATGGCTTTTTCATTTTGATCCCCACCCATGCACGTACTGTTAACTGATAGAAGTATCATGTCTGGTATTACATTATAATATTTTAATGTTGGTAAAAAAAAGTTAACTTCAGAAAAAAATCTTGTGAATTTTCCAATTGTATTGTAATAAACACATCTTTTGTATATAAAGATTGATAAAAATCTTAGCTAATTTAATTCAAATATTGTAGAAAACAGCTAGGACCAGTGTGCACTTTTCAACTGTCTAGTGTACACCTGGATAGCAAGTATCAAAATTCAAGTGAAAGAATAGTTACACCATTATCTTAAAACCTTTTTACTTAAAATTATTTTGTTATTGATATTTTATGTAATTCACAAAGAAACATGAAAAACATGTTCCAACTTTTATTTCTGCTCAGTTTCAAGAAGTCTTACATGTAATAATGCATTTAACAATTTTTTATGCCCATCCCAAAGCATAGGTTTTTATTCAATAAGCATTGGTTATCCCTTAAAAATATAATGATTCACATATTGTTTTTCACATGATATTATTTGTCTTTCACGGGTTTTATTACTATAGCATTAGTTTCCACCATTATTAGGTAAAACAGATTATAAGTTATTTACGTAAGTGTAGAGTAAATAAAGTGACCTGAACAGTAACTTGTGGTTTTCTGGGAAAGTTACTAGCTAGAGGTCCAGTAGAAAATGACGAAGGATCTAATGGAAAGCTTAGAAGACTTGTAAATGAAAAAATTTTATAGTTTTTTTTTAGACATTCTTTCATGCACATATGGTATCAAAAAGCTCTCACTCAAGTGCTTACTTAACAATTAGTTTGGTAATCAAAAATTTTCCTGTTCAGTTAGATAGGTTGTTTGAATGAACATCATGCACATTGAAACTTGTGGTTCGGTTGGGCAGTTATTTGTAATCCTGAATCACAGGAAGAAAGTTCATTCAGTTATGTTTTTATCAGCATTTCTTTTAAACTCTCCACTTGTGGTAACTACTTTACTACTACCCCCCCCCCCCCAGTGGCACAGCGGTATGTCTGCGGACTTACAACACTAGAATCTGGGTTTTGATACCTGTGGTGGGCAGAGCACAGATAGCCCTTGTGTAGCTTTGTGCACAATTAAAAACAAACAAACTACTTTACTATATTAAAAAATTCATTATTTTTTCTAATAGTTGTTTTTCTGCTATGCTTTTCTCAAATCTTGTGATGATAAAGTTTTTAACGTAACTTGAAGTATAAGAAATAAAATGCAAGGCAAATAAAACAATTTTGTTATGTATAAAGATCATTAGTCATTAACCCTTCCGAGATGGGACTTCCTATGGTCACAGATCAAAGGCCATGTCATCACATTTTTAGATTCACATTCAAAATTTTATTGAACTACTATTTTATAAATGTATGTTAATAAGTTTGTTACGAAATTGTATATTATAATTCAAATTTTAGTATTATACATTAGTTAATTTCTTAATTTAAAAGTAAATATAAAAAAAATCCTAAATATCGATTTGTGTGGGTCACATGGTATGTTGAATGCAACATTGGTTCAAATTACATGTTTGTGATGTCCAAATACAAACTCTATAGTTTTTTACAAATTAGATACTCAAATTACTGATACTTAAAAGCTAGAATATAAGATTTAAGCTGCCTATCTTTTCTATTTTCTGAGATATTAATATATTTATTGAATCAACTAAGGTGGCCCCACCCACCTCTTCCATTTTTGAAAATACTTGCTTGTGTACACCTACTTTGCCCAATGATGTGTGTAAAACCAATCATAAGCTTGGAATGTCCCCTGAGTGTTTTTCTCAGCCTCTGCAAAGTATATTTGCATGGGAAAGTTTTTCTTTTCATGCTAGATTCCAAGTGGTAAGGTATGAGCTCAAAAAATCATTTTTTGGACTCAAATACAATTTAATTCTAAGCTTGATAACTTATAGTGGAATTCTGTGGTATTGAAATAGTAATTTATAATTTTTTGTTTCAAAATGCATATATAAAACCTTAAAAAAAATTGTTTTACATCCTCTACATGTGAAATTTGATAATGCTTAGGAACTTGTGGCAAGTAGTAAATGAGTACAAAGTTTGTAACTAGAAGAGACAATTCTTTTCTATACTTCTTTATTTGCTGTTCTATGTTTAAAGAAAAATAACTGAAATTTAAGAACTTATTTGTAAATAGTAATATTGTCTATACATATATAATGTATTATAACCAAAATGTGACTGTATTTTACAAAATACTAGAACACAGCCAAGACAGTTCACTTTGTAAAGTGAAGTTTTATATTCTTGGATATGGTAACATGAGTGCACGTGTGCTGAATCATTGCAACTTCTGTAATGTTAGTCAGGCATGGCTGAAATGTCAAGAAAATAAAAAGAATAAATATGTATAGATGTATAATATTATGATTTTGAAGCTGCTTAGAATAAACATTTGCATTT